CGCCAAGCAGCCGGACAACAGGTCTCTGCTACAAGTAGTGGTAGCAGCAAACGTGATTCGCCGGCCTTCGGCTCCCCTCTGACATCGAACGCCCCGTCGTCGTCAGGGGGGCAGCTCTCTTCTCCATCCACGCCCGCCTGCTACTCGACTGTCCCGACCTCAATGGGTGCGGCCGTGGCTGTCGCCGTCAGCTGCACGTCGACATTGTCAGGGCTAACACCATTACCGACGACGGCGACCGCCGCCACATCAACCGCCGCCGTCACCACTGCCACCGTTGCCACCCCTGCCGCGGTTCCCTTGGTTCGTCGGTTCGGTGGGCCCTTCTTCCCCATTGCAAATTTCGACTCCATGCCCTCCGACATTCGCTGCCAGGTTTGTTTCAGAGGCCGCCAGTTCGTTTAATTTTTCTATCACTTTTATATCCGGAGGCATATTATGAAGGGAGTAAGAATGGGGAGGAGGGTGCCGCGTCACGCACTGCATCTCTACATGCGGTCGACCTATCACTGGATTTCCTGAATTCGGAGGCGTGTCTGCACATTGCACCGTTTCAACGCTGTGGTTAACCAATCTGTTCCCTTCTGTGCTCCTATGGTCAACGTCCCCTTTCGTGTGTTGGGCGGTGCTGCCGCCGTTCCGAATTTTTGACGCTCGCATGTATTTCAAACCTTTGGCGAACAAAAATCTAATTGCTGTCCTTTTTAATCTGCTCGAAAACTGCTGCACGAATTTGGAGTAGATCCTTCAGAAAAGAGGTTTTTCTGGCTGGTCCCAAAGGTTGATGTAAAATATTTGGACCGACATCCATCAGTTAGTGCGGAATAAACACGTCACACTCACAAGTTACCCCCGAGCAGTCAGTAGTATACAAATACTGGATTTTTTGCCGTATTGATAGCGCACACACTAGCTGAAAGCCCAGACTGCGTATCTCCGTGATCGTGTTCTGTTGCATGACGCATCTGCGAGCGGTTCGACTCATCGGTGAGTCCCCCAGCGTTCATCGTATGCTACCTAGTCTTTGAACTCCAGTTCCCATGCTGACCTTTTTGATTTCCTCGGGCTTCTGCCTAGCACCTCTGTTGTTAATATGGTAAATAATCACAAAGTTTAGAAGATGAAGATGCGATCACTGGAACAAGAAATTTATTTGCCTGACGTTTCGGATTCTCACTCGAATCCATCATCAGAGACATTCGCAGATAGTTGTGTACAACTGCTTGCCTGTGGGCAGCTTGCGAATATTACGCTGTATTCTGCGGTAGCTGACGAATTTCAACCCAAATATTCACATCGATTTTCCGAATCAACTTTATTCCGAAGGATTTACTCCAAGTACGTTTATCGATTTCCGAGAAAGCTAAAGTCGTAACATTGGAACTCCTTCAGGCTGTTAGTAGTGACCTGAGAGAGTGGGTCACCTCTCCTGACTGCCCGTTATTCGCGAGCCGAGCCGTCACCCGGTCTTTCCTGTGTAATGGCGAGGGGACAGTCATGGCGTGGGATCTGATAAACAACACCATATTGTTCTCTTGCGTCTGGTCGGTCTTTCATTTGCTTGATTTTGGCGCGCATGGTAGTAGTCGGACGGTGAGCGATACCCACGCCGAGCTCTCCAGCGATATGCTCCGTTGCTTCGGATACGTTCTTTATATACGAAAGGGGGTTCCAGATTGTTGGTGTCTCTCCTCTGTTTGGTTGCCGTGGGTGCGTATGGAGGCAGCGAATGATGAAGCCGTTTGGGTATCCATTCCTTTACCAGTTGGTCCCGAAGATGCCGTAGTTCTCGTACTCGTCCCTCCGGTTCAGTGCAATGTGTTTTTGTCTTTTGGAAGAGTTCCCTAACACAGCCGCGTTTATGCGCCAGTGGGTGATTGCTGTGGTAGTTGAGGTCTTGAGTCCTGTTAGTCTTCTTTTTATACACCGTGGTGCTGAGTTTTTCATTGGGTCTGCGTGTGACGAGGACGTAGAGGAAAGGCAACTGTTTGGAATGCTCTCCTTCCCCTGTGAGCTGAATGTCGAAGAAGATGCCGCTAAGCAGGTCATGAAAGTCTGCTAGTCTGCTTCTTTCAGTTATAACGAATGTGTTATCCACGTATCGGCGCCAAAATACAGGTTCACAGTTGTTAAAGGCGACTTTTTCCAGCTCATTTAAAACTAGTTCCGCAACCAGGCTGGATACTGGCGAACCCATCGGCGTTCCTTTGATCTGCTTGGATGTTCTGCCATTGAAAGTGAAGTGGGTTTGTTGGCAGAAGCAAAGCGTTGCAGAAAATGGTCTATTTTTAGAGATCTCTTCGTTTCATCATAGTTTTCTGTGAGCCGTTTGCGTAGAACTTCGCGTGCCAGGTCCGGTGGGATGGGAGTGAATAATGAAACTACGTTAAAGGATACCTTTCTTTGTTTGGCTACAAAACTGCTCATTTGGCGTCGTACTCCTACAGTCTCTGATGATGGCCTCCTGTGCGAGATCGAAAGCTTACACTAATACACTTACTGCCCCATTGACCGCGCGTTCATCTTCTTTGCAACAAAAACCTGGGACTCGCATATTCGCTTCCACTCGTAAGTTGATATGAATGTTTGAGCGCTAACCCATCAGCACATGATGGTCATTGCGTGGTTGCTTCTCTGAAGCTGATGAATGCCAAATCAACTTTCGGACCGACCTTGACAAAATGTGCCCCCAGAAGTGTTTACTTCAAGTACATCAAATCAAATCAAAAGGCCAAACAACACATACTTGTGTCGGTCCGTTTTCCTTAGTCTCTTTTTTCATACCTAAGACATTTTTCTGACGTGTTGATCTCTCTGTATTGCAGTTACTAATGATTACGGACTGTTATTGACTCAGTTGTTTCCGTCTCAGGTTTTTGCGTCTTTGTTCATTCAATTGAATGTTCCGCTCCTGAGTTGCGGCCTTACACGTCGGTTACAAAAATTGTTTGACTCCGTGCCCAAGGGCAAATGAACCCGCTGTCGAGCTCCCAGTTTTTTCCAGCCTGTACACTCGTCTGACGATGTTAACTACGCCTGGAAATGGCCATCCATCCTCTTGTCTGTCTTGACAACGCCTTTTGATCATTGGTTTCTTCCTGATATTCGGCTTCCCGTGTAGACTTTAGATTGGAGCTCCGAGACGAGGAAGCACCCAACCTCGTTCTACAATCAGGATGGTTCAACCAATGTCGCATTTGGGTCAAGTTACCCTCCCAGCCTACTACAATATGGAATCTGCGAATTCTGATACAGTGAGCTGAATGCCCAAGCAGGATTTCCAAAGCGATCAATGTAGACTCCATCAGACAGCTACGTAACTCATTTAGTTAGTAGGTGTTTTAACAGATTAGAGTAATTGATTCGACCGGACTGCTCCTGGTGGGGCCTCATAACTCGGGCGATTAGATTGTGTTAACTGTACAACACAATCGTTGCCCTCGCTCTCGTGGGTTCGACTCCCACCTAGGCCGCCGAATTTTTCGCAGTTGAGTAGATTGGTTTACTCAACTCGGCCAACAGCACCTGTCAACTGTCTGCATATCGAGCGTCAGGAATTCCGTGTGTTTTATGGAGCTTCGGTAATGGGCACGCCTAGAAAACCGGCTTCAGTATGCCCATCGGATGGTTTTTTCTTTAGACTGGTCTCTTTTATGAGTTACAAAATGGGTTTCCGGAATAATTTGAATCGAAGCAAGTTTGGCGACACGGGCAGAATTTAATCGGGTTATCAATTCCGTGACCTATTGTTTGACTTTGAACGACCATTACATATTTATAACCAAAACGCGCCAACATGCATTTGCTTCCCTCGCACCGGGCCCACCGACATGTCCAACCAATACCCCCCACCCGTTACGTACCTTTCCCTTTGGATTGCTCCAGACCGTCTGGTTATCGAATCGCTAGTTTCCAAATATTACTGACCTTTCGCAGTTTAACAGGGGGTAACAAAAACCACGACTTACTTAAATTCTTCATATTTCGCCACATTCGCCTGTTCATACTTCCGAGTGCCTTATTCCCCTTCTTTTCCAAATGATTATTTGTGTTTTATGGCTGACTTGAAATCTCAATATCACGAAATTCCCCGAGTTCCTTCCGTAGCACGGTCAACTTCGATTGCTCTTAATTCACTTTTACCAGCAGAAAGTATCGGCAATTTCACCGTGGTGACCGACACACCTTAACCGTTTTACTGCCTTGAAGGCCGCCACCTTTTCACACGGGTCACTTGTAGTTGACGTGAGTATTGTGAGTTGAAACCAAAACCGCTGTGCATTGGCAGCTCCTGCATGACGTGGCGTATGGTAAAACCGGAGGTAGAAATGTTTGCTTCACTTGCGCTGTTAGAATTACTTCTGATACCCACTAACCCCTTCTGACTTTCTAAAGTCCCCTGTTAAATGCAGTTTCCTTGGACACTAACAGACTCCTTCAATCTTATTCTGCAACTCATTTGTCGGTCCCTCCAGTCTGCTTATTCATTCGCAGCAATAGATGTTTCTATCCTAACAACGTCCTCATAGCACTTTTTTTCTTTTTTCCGTCTCAAGAAGTTGCAACAGAGCCTCTGCCAAATTCTTGACTCATGGCGCTCGGCAAGGCAATACTTGAAAGACCTTGACCAGAGAGTCACACGATCGCAGCGTATGCGAGCCAAGCGTCACACGGAACTCGGCCACCACGAACGAGCAGTGGCTCGTTCTCCAAGTCCGTTGATGCCCTCGGCTCCCCCATCTGTTTCTAGTCCACCACTTCTTTCTCAGTAGGTCTCGCGCGCCACTGAATCCGCAAGCAGTGCCATCCGGCTAGTTTGTATCGCAGAGGCAGCAGTGATCTTTTATGTTTCCCCGCAGATCCCAGCATTTCGGTCTATCTGCGACTGTCGTTTATAGAGCAAATATTCCCTTATTGCTTGTTTCCCACTTGTGAGCAAAATATTCCCTCCCGTTCGGTCCTTCCCACAGTGTTCTCTTTAAAAATCGTGGAAACTACACATACATTTGTACATATACATTTGTTTACTTTTTTTCCAACACCGTTTTGCTGTGGGAATGCTTTTTAATAAAAGCACATAATATTTTCAAACTAGCCGGTGGCTTCATAACCTCGTGGCCTCGTTTGGCTTTTAATGTTCGAGTCTGTCCATTTATCGCATTTGCTCGCAGCCCTATCTGTTATTATGCCTAGAAAATAGGACGACCGCGTTGAGTTAAGCATGGCATTTAACTTTTAGTAAAAAGTATCCTATGCAACAGACTTTAAATAGTCATCTTTATGTGCAACTTCATGCAAAACGTCTACTTCATCCTAAAGTGCTCCGGTTATGACATTTGCCTCCGCTTTCTTGGGATAGGGCGACGTGTCTCGGTTCGAATGTACTCCCGCATCGCCTAGAGTGGGCCTTAAATCGATAGACATACGCTTCCAGAACAATGTACAACTGCGATCTGTGGCGGGCTTTTCGTAGTTGCCTACGCATTCTCTGTGTCTGACTTTCGCAATTTGCCTCGAAGGAGCGACTACATTGGAACGTATCCGTGTCTTGCCTGCTTGATGGTAGTGGCTAATTATTTGGAGTGGATACCAGTTAAAGTTGTCCATTGGAAAGCGGTGAGGAACTTATTGTTTTTAGCTGGCAGGAAAATTTGTTCATCTGACGTTTCGTACTCGTACTCGAGGATATCATCGGAGATAGGCAAAATGGGAAATGGTTTAAATAGGCAATTCGTGCTCGCACCCGGTGGGTCGCTTATGTCAATGTGACTTCCGGGTGCGAAGCACTTCACCGAGCACGGCGCTGGGGAATATTCTTCTGAAGACAGGGATCTACATGGGAACAATTGGCCTTTCTGCACAACTTCCTGAGGTCAGACATTATTGCCGAGGAGCGTTTCTGTAAAACCACCAGCTAGGATTGATTTCGCCCGCGAGGTCGCCAGGAGCTGCAGCCGACGCCTTTTAAGAACCCTCGTCAGCGAATGTCATCTTCGTCTGCGAAAATACGGCAGGGACATCGAAAAGGAGAAAGCGGCATGTGCAGCATACCTGGAGCAGCAAACACTGCGAAACCTGGAAAGCTGGATCTTGATTTAGGTGAACGACGAGCGAGACAAGAAGACCCAACTGCCCAGCAAAGTGCGCATCCTAAAACTAGCACAAGCACCCGTCAGCCGTCCACAACCTGTTATTCAAACAGCCGACAGACGACCAAATTAAAGTGCTCCAACATGAATCCGGCTGCAATACAGGAGACGCACAGCCAGTGGATTTTGTCGCTGGCACTCTCAAAAACGGATGCCACATAAGACTCCAAGAATGCGATTCGCCAACGAGTCGCATCTGTCATATCTCAGAGGCTACGCCGAACCAACCCCCTCATCAGGGGGTAAAGGCCATTAGGGGCTTAAAGAAGAACGAAGAAATTGTCATTGTGCGAGCTGACAAAGGACGGGTAACCGTAGTCATAGACAAGTCGGAGTACGTGCCCAAAGCTCAAGAGCTACTGGACGCCAACCAGTCATAGTCGTTGATTCCGATCCCATGAAAACACTGGTAGGCAAAATCAATAAGAACCTGAATCCTGGAAAAACTCAAAGACGTTATAATAGCCCTCGATGAGATAACGGTATCCTTTGACGTCGTCTCTCTATTCACCTTCATCCCGAAACAAATTGGCCGCGAGAGTCGTCAGTGACCTACTGGAGCGAAAGTACAACGAAGAGGGAAAGCCTTTTAAGAGGAAGCAAGCGACAGAACTACTGAACTGCTGCATACGCACGTTCTTCACTTTCAATGGTCAAATTTACGAGCAAATCCAGAGAACCCCGATGGGGTCCCCGATTTCCAGCTACCTGGCTGAGGCGGTTTTGCGGGAACTGGAAACTCGAGTCTTTCAGTCCTACAAGCCGAAGTTCTGGATGGGTTACGTAGACGCCTTTGTCATCCTACGCCGAGACGTGAAAGACAACTTCAAAAGGGAATTGAATTTGGTCTTTCCACAAATTTAATTTACCATGGAGGAATAAAGAGACGGCTTGCTTCCTTTCCTCGACGCCCAGGTACCGGGACAGGAAGCCGGAATCCTGCAGACTAGTGTCTTTCGAAAAACCAGCAACACGGAAAAAATCCTTCACTACGACAGTAACCATTCCCTGTGGCATAAACGCAGCTGCCTTCGGACACATTTTCGCCGCACCAACATACATTGCAGCACAGAATCCAAGAAGCCGCGGGAGCTTAAAACCCTATGCCACCTCTTCCTTGCCAATGGATATCCGCGCAGTTCTGCAAAAAAATGCTTATACCAAAGACTCCGAGGGCTGACGGTGACAACAAACAAAGACCGGAGATCTTCCGTGTTCTGTCCTACGTCGGACATGTCTCCGAAGCCACTGAGCGCATGCTAATACCGCTAAGAGTGGGCGTTGGACACCGGCCGGAGGCCACCATCCGCCTTTTGCGCGCACGAGAGGAGCCCATAAGAAAAGAGCGGGATCAACCTATCAGGTGTGAGCACAAATTACATACCTAAACCATGTATTTCTCATTTTGTCTGACCGGTGATGTGCTCGAGTGCGGGCGCGGAGCGTCAGATGATTTTCTTCATGTTGGTCCAACTGTGAAAACTCGGCGCCTCGGTGGGATTCGAACCCACGCAGAAAGGGGAAGGCTTTAGTACGGCCAACGCTCTAACCACTTGAGCTACGAGGCCCCGCCGGACGACGCGAGTTTAATCACATTTGGGTCAACTTACCCGCCCAACCTACTGCAACGTCTCGAATCCACCAAATCTGATACAGTAAGCTGACCGCACAAGCATCTATGAATTACGTGAACCTGGTAGTCATCGGTCTCGTCTTGGCCGGCCGCTGGGGCGCTCGTGTGACCTCTGTCCCCTGCCGGCCGCCGTTGTTGCTGCTATGTCCGTGGGCCCACTCCCCATAACCTGACGGGATGATCAGTTGCCGTTGTATGTGTGAATCGCGTTCGGCTGTTTGGGCGCGTCGGTGGGTCGATGTCTCGCGTCTGTCGTCTGACCCCGGGCTGGTTCTCTCCACCTGCTGTGAGGGTGACAACTGTTGAGAGGGCTGCGATTCGTTCGCCAGGGCCGTCGGCCCCGTCCGAACTGACTGGAGCCTCGTACGTAGCGTCTCCTAGGCCGGATGAATATCAACGGCTCTGCTGATTGTGCCAACTGAGAACCAACTTTCGAGAACCAGTCTGGCCATCTTGTCGCTGGCTCGGCCGATGACGCTTGCCTGTCCAAAGGCGAAACTGTGTTTTTCCTGTTGTATGCGCCCATATACCAGTCTCAGCTTATCCTCGCGGCTGACGGAAAGCTGGTGCTCGTGCAATCTTTTGCAGAGTCGTTTGCCCTTTTCACCAATATACCTCGCACTGCAATCTTGGCAAGGTATGCTGTAGACCACTGCTGATTGTTCCGTTGCCGTTCGCTGGTCTTTGGGCCTCATTATCTGCTGCCTGATAGTGGATTCCGGTTTATGGGCCACCCCCAATACCAAAAGGGCTCGTGATTCTTGCTGTCGCCTCAGAAACCTTCCTCATGTAGGGGATTGCGAGCCAGATCTTCGGCTTCTCATCGTTAGATCGCGGGCAAGTTCTCTTCGGCACTCACGTCGGAAGGATCGTGGGTATCCATTGGCTGTAAATATGGAATGTAGGTATTTAGCTTCCTCTCTTCTCCCGTCGTCGCCACTACAGTGTGTTTGAACTCGTTGGAAAAGAGCTCTGACACAACTGCGTTTGTGACCAATGGGGTCGCTACTCCGGAATTGGAGAATGCACCTAGTATTCGTTGCCTTCCGTATATCGTAGTTCTGATTCCCCATTAGCCATTCTCGCGACGTTTACATCAAGGAAGGGCAACTGGCTGTTCTTCTCCTCTTCCATTTTAAATTGGATATCGGAGAATACTGAGTTCAGCAAGACCTTAAAGTCCTGGACGCCGTTCCTCTTGATTACGACAAATGTGTCGTCGGCGTATCTGGCCCAAAATTTTGGGGAGTACGAACGGAAGACCAGTCGTTCGAGCCTCTGCAGAACAGAGCGGCAATCAGTCCAGACAGCGGGGAGCCCATCGGTGTTCCCTTCTTTTGCTCGTAAACCCGGTTGTCGAAAGTGAAGAAAGTTCCGAGACACTATTCCAGGAGTTCGATGACGTGCGTTGATCAGTTTCATCATATATCCCCTGAAGAAGCTCATCAGTGGCGCTGATGACAAGGCCTGTTGGAATGGAGGTGAATAAGAAGACCACATCTAACGATACCCCAATCTGGTCTGGATCTATTTCTAGATGCCTGATAATCCTCAAAAACTGCTCAACCAATTTCGCTGTCCATTCGGAATTCTCGGTCAGGAAACGGAATCGTCGGTAAAGCCATTTCGACAGCCCAAAGGTCGGGGTGCCGCGTAAGGAGACTATAGGGCGTAAAGGTAATCCTGGTTTATGCACTTTTGGCAGACCGTAGAAACGCGCCATGGCGGCATCGTCGGCCTTTGCAGACACTGCTTCCTCCCTCTCGATCGCCCTTGCCTTCCTTAACTTGTTTACATTGTTCACGTGCTTCTTGAACATTCCAGTCTATATATATACATATATGTCCGGAGTACGCTATAATACCTTTACCATATAGATTTCATACTATTTGTAGTACAACTTGTTTGTAGAATGGACATTACGTGGTTATTCCACGGTAGGTGATTGTCTTCGACTCGAATGTTCATTGAAATTTCGCTTCTGACCCTA